AGACAGCATCTGCTGGGCTGTAACTGCTCTCTGCAGATCATCTACACACCACTGGAAAGGTTTAATGGAGGGATAACACTCACTAATACCTCCCTCATCTACTAAATCTCTACATCCAGTTACCAAAATGTTCATCCACAGAAAAATAAGTGGGAAAGTACCACCAGCAGCTCAGCTACAAATATATCAACCACTATGTACTGCTGGGACAGTTTCCCTGCCAGCAAAATAAAGCAACATCAGGGTCTCCTCCCAAAAATCACAGCATTAGCTCAAGGGCAATGGCATGCCCAGGTAACCACTGCTGATCCTGATCTTGGAGGGTTAGGAATTCTGAGAATAATTCCCTAAGCCCACAAGCTTCTTCTGAAGCTCAAGACAAAACCAAAACTCAAGAGTTCAGCCCCCAAGGCCCTTCTCTGTGTTTGCATAAAGCCTGTACACCAACTGGGGGTTTCCTCTTGGGACTTTCTCATGTTCATATGTGTACATACAACTCATACATCACACTTACTGCCTGTCCATTTTTATTTCAGATTGCTAAACTGAAATTATTTGATTAGTTAGTATGAATGATTTTTAATGACCCAAATTAAAACAGTCAAAATTTACAGTAAATATTAAACAGGGAGGATATAATTGGCTAACTCACTTCTAACACTCCTCCTTACTCTTCTCCTATTTTTAGGCCATAGTTCCTCCTTTTTTCACTCTCCTCCTGTTATTACTTACTTCACTCTATTTCCGCCTTTACAGAACTGTTATTTAATACATCTACTAGAGAGATACATATTAGATATATGTAATCTATCCAATATTTTTATTTTTACCTTTGAAAAGGTAAAAATACACCATTTAAGAGTTGGGCCGGCCAACACTTTCTAAAGTCTTTCATTTCCACTTCTCAATTTCCTCCTGGTGCTGTTTCTGAGCTCTTTAGGGAACTACCAGTGACTAGTTCTGCATCACAGACTCTGTTGAAATGAGTGCCACAGCTCTCAGCAGCACTGCCCCACACAGCCTTCCCTGCGTGGTTTGATTTTTGACTCTGCAGTCTGTGGGGGCACTTTGTGAGCACAAATGCATCAGCAGCATATTTCCAGAGCAGTCTCCGACCAAACTTCCAGACCAGGCATAGACTAAACATGAAGGACCGCAGAAAATATCCAGGAATCATTATGCAACACAGGAAAGAACCTCATTCACTTCAAGTAATTGTTTGGTCAGTACCCGCTGTTATAAACAGCTGATTTTAAACAACAGCTGAACAGTGATGATGCACTCACTGTTTATACATATTCATCCCCTACCTGTTGGCTATCCCTCAATTAAAGCAAGGCACAACTGGCTTTAGCTTCCAGAGGATTTGCTGCTTTTAGTACAGAAAAAAAAAATAAATCGTTATTTGTGTCCACAGTAGCAAATGTTATTTAAAAGCAGAATTGATATATAAGGGAAGAGAGCCGGGGCCTTTCCTGTGCTCTTGCCCAGGACCGCCCAGTGAAGCTACAGCAGAAGGACAAGGGACAAGTGAACTCAGCCCTCCAAACCACTCCTGCACTGCTGTGTGAGGGAAAGCTCAACCCAAACTGTCTTCAAAAGGTCCTAAATTTTTACAGGTTTGGTTTTGGAGTGGAACTGCAAAGTGGGGAGGGAACATGCTGATTTGGGGGGTTATTCTGTTTGGTTTTTTTTACAAGAGTCATCATAACAACAATTTGAAATTTTAATACATTCCAGGGAACCTGATTAAAATATTAAAACAAACAAGAGAAACATACTGGAAACGCACCAAGCCACATAAATTGCATCATGTTTTGGTAAGGCATTTATATAGAAATTATTTGGGTGGGTTTTTTTGGTTCTTTCATTACTGGTATTATTCAGTATTACAGTTCTTTCCAGGAAGCTTCAGAACAAATACTTTAATTCTACAGGTACACGTGTATCAAAGCATTAACTACTGGAAGCCTCTGTCAGACTTGGAAACCACCAATACCCCAAACATTATGTTTGAACAAGGTGACAAGGTTATATTGACTTTTTCTTTTCAGTCCAACTTCAACCGGACAACATTTATCCTCCAACTTTTTGGTCGTGCCGACATTGCGTTTAAAAACTGAGGTCAAAGTTGAGTAAAGGACAACAAATGGAAAGAAGATTTTCTGCAAGTCTCCATTTTGGGAGATAAATTTAAGACTGAGAAAGGGTTTGACTAAGTACCTATTGCACTATTCCCATTCCTCAACCTGTCTGGGTTTGACCACGAAGCACAACTGTTCCTGCAGCCACTGTTATAAAAAGCATTTCAGCCAACTATGACTTGCAAAAGTCACTGCAACTCAGCTGCCGGGAAGCACGATGGAAATCAAAAAGGATGTTGAATATTTAAGTGACGCTGCAAATTTCTTTATCCAGTTTTCAAACCTCAAGGTTAACAAACCCCATTATCATTCAGCTTGGTCCAAGAACCATCTTCCTCTCTCAAGAGTCACAAGACAGTTTTCTGCAGCTATCACACACTACAGCAGGAATTAACCTAGAAATTAGTAAACACCTCAATACAAAATCCTGTAGATTAAAAACTGCCAGACTGGCTTCTGGCAGTGGTGGTGGCCCCAGTTCTGTTTTAAGAGTCACACAGAACAGTTGGACGAGTTACAACCTCGCTCCCTTTAGGACCAGCTGGCTCTGCTCTCTACTTTGCTACTTTCCCTTTCAAGCACAAATTCTAAATAGAACCAGGTTATTTACATTGTTCCTAACGCTTGACCTGCATCAGCTCCACTCACCTGAGCTCCATAGTGTGTGCCAGTCTGTGTCAATATTTGTGCTTTTACTAACTAATAATTAACTCTGGCTGTATTAACTAGATAATTGCTAATACTGCCATTAACACATATAGTAATTCCATTAAGCACCATACTGGTGTTATATCCTATAGAACAAGATACTCACCAGAAACACAGACCTACAACCACACTGCTACAAAAAATATGAAAACTCACACGTATGAAAATCCCTAATACTGGGAAAACATTAGGAAGCCCGTATTTCAAAAAAATAGTCTTTGTGCCTTTTATCTTACTGCTTGCAGAAACAGATCTTATCCTTTTGTGTTACTTTCTAATAAATTCACTGTTTAGAAAAGGCCATTGGGTAAAGCCTGTTCCAAAGGAGCAGAAGCCACTCATAACTTGAGGAAAGTACTCAACCAGCTGGACTCCAATGCTTCTACAAGTAAAACATGTACATCACAGAAGCTCTTAAGCCTGTAGAGAAGCTTAATGGTTTTTTTTGCTCTGCCTTTAGAGCTCCTTGCAATTTTCCCCTTCCCCAAAAGCTAACCACAAAAACTCTAATGCTCCATTTTTGTTAATGAAACAATCCCACTGCCAAGTCATGATTAACCCTAAAAAACTTGGCTAAATTCACCAGAGGTGCAGTTCTGCTTTAATGTTCACTTTAAGTGAACTCCTCAATACTCTCAAAGCAATATGGAAGTTTCAACAATACCCTAAATATATAAAATTTTTAACAAGATGAGAGAAGCAGGAGACTCTTACAAAGTAAGACTTGTCTGCTAGACACACAAACCAGAAATAATCCATTTACTCCCCTCGACCTTCCTTGGCTAGACTAACTCAATTAGTTTCCCTAAACCACCAGATACTTGCCAAGATTAAATATTTGGGTTTAATCATTCAGAAAGCGAAAGATTATGCACTGTAATGTAACACTTTTTACGGAAACCTCTGCTTGAGCAACAGTTCCAGAAAAAAAATTGTGAAATAGAGTAAAAAGCTGCCCAGAACACCACACTTCCACTCTGTTAATTCAAAAAAAAAGAAGTTTCAGAGTCAGGCACCAAGACCTCATTTTTAGCAAAGGAGAAGCGGCACGTTTCAAAACGCAGTTAACTCCAGAATAACAACCATCGCCGGGAAGCTATTAAACATCATCATTCCCTGGCCAGCAACTTGTGCTACGCGCAGACCTCATGACGGAACGGCGATAAAAATGTCAGGGCTAATTTTTAGCACCGCGTCGCATTAATCCAGGTGTAGGATAACCCGGGCTCGCCGAAGGGAAAGCCGGGACGCAGACACGGCACCGAGGGGCTGAGCAGCAGCGGGGCGATTCCGGCTGACGCAGCGCTGCTGCTGATGCTGCGCGGAAAAACCGCACGTGGATTCGGGGAACGCGCGCGCGGGGACGGGGGAACACGCACACACACACACACACACACGGGGATCTGGGGAACGCACACCCGCCTGGGTCTGGGGAGCACACAGCCGGATCGGGGGGACGCGCGCACGGATAGATTTGGGGCACACGCACACAAACACGCACTCCCCGGCCCGTGCAACATGGACGGCCGGCGGGGAGGGCTCGGCCGGGCCCGCCGCGGCCGCCGCCGCCGCCGCCCCCCGGGGAGCCCCTCGGGCCCGGCCGGGGCCGGCGGGAGCCTCGGCCCGCCGGGCACAAGGAGGAAGGAGAAAGTTTTACCCCCTCCCACCGCGGCCCAGCGCAAAGTTCCCGCCACCCCCGCGCCGCCCCAGCCCCCGGCCCGCCCGCGCCGGCCTCCCCCGCCCGCGCTGACAGCCCCGCGCCCCTTGCCCGCCGACCCCGATCCGCGGCACCGCCGCGGAGAACCCCCCGCCCCGCGGCGGTGACAGCCCCGCCGCCCTCACCTCAGGCGAGGGCCGCGCTCCGCAGGGCGAGGAGCGGGCGGCGAAGGGAGTGCGGGGGGCAGCGCGCTTGGTGCCCGCGCCCTTATCGCATCCCAGCGGAGCCCGGCTCGCCCCCGCCGCCTCCCGCCGTGTGGGCGGCTCAGGCGGGATCCCCCCTCCCCTCCGCCGCCATCTTGGCTGTCACGGGGCGGGGGAGGCGGGCGGTGACTCGGGAGCGTGGCGGGGCGGGCGCGGGTCCCGCCGCTTCGTGAGGGGGAGGCGGCCGTGCCCCGCTGCCCGCCGGCTCCCGCTCCCCTCTGAGGGCTCCCCTCACGCCGCGGCCCCGCCACTCCCGCCTTCACCCTCAAGCCGCGGGTCCGGCCGCTCCCGCCTTCCCCCTCACGGAGCGCGGCGCCGGCGGCTCCGAGCTGTGAGGGGGGAGCGGGGCGCCCTCGGTGAAAGCGCCTAAAACGCAACGCACAGACCACAGACCTCCCCCCACCTCAGCCCTCTAATCTAAACGGCACCTTTAGTTTAAACAGAAATCAATCTCCGGCCCAAATAGGCCGGGATTTGGCTCACCTGCGGCGCCCGTCGCCTGGACCCGGAGGAGGTGCCGGCTGTCTGGAAAACCAGGGTTGAGAAAACCGAGGGATTTTCTGCAGGCTTGATGTAACCCGCAGCAGGCTGTTGCATCAAAGACTAGAAAAAGAACCCGGGACAAAAATAATCTTTTAAGTGCGTGCAGCTAAGATTAGTGCAGCGTGTCAAGATGTTGCTGAGCGCTACAGAACGAGTCCTCCTGCCTGTACCAACACAGAAATACTACTTTTCTGACATCTGCAACCCTGAGTATCCAAATTTTATACCAAAGTGATGTTTAGGGATAGGATCCCACCATACAATTTTGGCTTTAAATTCAAGCTTCCCTCCCTTCTAGATGTTTGGCTTGAGGGTTTAGATGTGGCTCGTCATAAAGACACAAGATCCATATGAAATTCTGAATTTGTACTGTGAATGTGTTCAAACCTGCTGTATTGGTTTACCTCATCCCTCTGAGAAATCCGACCAAATAGGAGAATATAAAAGCAAAAAAGTACAGAACAGGGCTTTTTTCCCCCACATGCTTTTATTAATTTGATTGTTTATAGCAGAAATGCTGCTCCTCCTACCCCTCAGGTAGGAAACGCCACAGCTGACACAAGCCAGTCTCTACCCGGGCAGCAGCATTAAATTATTTAAAGTGCTGGTAGAAATTTTTCCAAATCAGTTTCTGCTATGTTTTAATCCTGGAAATGCTTTTCAAGTAAATAGCAATGGTGAAGTGGCTTGTGATAGTAATTTTGATATGCAAAGTGTTCTGTTCTCTCTGCCCTTGCTGGTTTTTCACGTGGGCATAATTTTTAGCCTTCAGTGTTAACACCCAAGATTAATGGGTATGTTCCTACTTCTAAGAGTATTGTTTCAGCTGCTGTTATACTGAGGCAAAATCCCCGCACAGATGTACGAATAGTTCACTTTGCAGGGTTTAAGTTCACAGCCATGAAAATGTTCTTGACTATTCGTAATGGAAACTTTCATTTTAGAGAAACAAAGTTCTTAAATATTCTGTGGCAGTCTTCAGCTCATTTTATAGGTAAAATTTTTTGTAGATGTCTTTGATTTGCTGTTGATTTATTTCCCTCCACCATTTCTGTCCTTCTAGGATTATCTGCATTTAATTACACATTGTGTCAAGGTCAACAAATTGCTGTCGAGGATGGGGATCTCGCTGTGCAAGGCCTGACAAACACCAGAGGAGTTTCTGCCCAATGCTGCCATCACAGCCAACGGTGCTTATCTCTGTCCTGTCTTTCTTGTTCTTACATCTCCCCCTCCTTCCCACCCGATTCCATCAAGCCTCTGCTGCTTTCTCTCCCTGACCTACCTGCTGCTCACGCTCTCGGCTCTGGCACACTTTCATCCCCACCAGCACATTTAATTGCAATGTTCCATTTCATTATTAGCTTGTCACCACCTTTGTCAAGTCACCTTTCCTAACAAATCTCACCGCAAAGCTTTCCTGCGTAGCTTGTCATCAATTTTCCACATTAGGGCTCATCTGAAACCATGTGCAAAAGGGTCTGTGAAGAATCATGGCTGCAGTGCTGTATTTATTTGTGAATAAAGAGCAGCACCAGTGAATAGTGCTACTGTACAGGCAGAGACAGATTTACTGTGTGCCCAGCTCCTGCCAGGCTCATTGCACAGAGATGTGTCTATGTGTCACTCACACAAAGCCTTTCCCTTCCCCGGGATTTTCGGGATCTCTGGGCAGTGGTCTCTACATGCACGTGGAGACCAACCCCAAGATCATTAAGTCAGCAGAATTCTTCCTATTAACCCCAGTCAGTGTTGGATCAGATTCTTGTTGTGTGTAGTAAGTTAATTAAACAAGTTAACAATTGCATGCAGTGCAGGTGGGCTGGCACCAGGCATTTCTGTGGGATTCTGCTGCCTCTCAAGTGCAGGGTGGAGCCCTGGCAGCCAGATTTAGCCTCCCCTGGAGTGCAGCCAGCGAGACACGGTGGCTTTCTGCAGACTGGCAACCACAGAACCATTTTTTTCCATGTTACAACCCCAAATTTCTAGCTTGTGGCACTCAAGTAATTTTCAGAGTATGGTTTAGCTTATTTTAACTGTGTTTTACACATGGGTAAACTCCAGCAAGGCAGAGGACAAGTGGCAGATGGTCAGTGACAGAGCCAGGAATAGAAGGGAGGACTTCCTTGTCCCAGGACGTGGTTGTAATTGACTTTGTCCCAGGATTGTGAGATGTGATGATTTATAATTCATGAGACTTCAGCAGTGCTTTAAAAAAACCCCAGCTATTACTATTCCCAGTTTTTCCTGGCAGAGGTTGGCTTCCATAGGCAAAACGATTTCAGTGCCTTAAGTGTGCAATTTAGGGCTTAGTCTGTTCACTTTCTGACCAGTTTTATTCCTTTTGAGCTCACTTGGCTGTGCTGTGTGCACTGCTCATTTACATCTATGGGGAGAAGGATGAGGCTCCGAGAGAACCCAACAGAGTATCTTTTGAATAGACCTATCTGTAACCTTGGTAAAAATAATCATAAAGATAATGATAATGGATAATTGTAACTGGCAAAACAAGACTCTGCATTTCAGAGGACGAATTGCCTTCCCCTGTCCAGTAACCCACTTTATGGTGCAGTAATGGATCTGCATCCGGAGGGTTATGCACTGAAATGGAGCCTTTGGCAAGATGGGATCACACTAGAAATGAAGCAACATCTTCATGGGTTTTTTTAATATATGCATATTTGAAAATCTGGAACTTATCCCTTTTTACATAAAGAGACTGTCCCTGCTCAGAATGATTAAATTCTAGGACAGATTATGAAATAATAAAGTACTTAAATATTATGATGCAGCAGTACAACAGTGCAGTTACCCTTCCTTTTACTGATTCAAGTATAGTATTTCTGAAAAGCCTTTTGCACTCCAGGGAAACTACTGACTATAAATTATACAACAGGCAATAGAGTTATCATGCATATATGGGGGAAAAAAAGAAGTTTCAGACCTTTCTCTAGATAAAGAACTTACAGAAGCAGCTAAAAATATGGGAAATGGAGCAAACACAGGCTCTGATCCAAAGGCCACTGAACTCAGCAGAAGCATGCAGTTCATTAGGCATCAGAGTCATGTATGTCATGAACTACAATTCACAAATGCAATTAAGAATGTTACTGTATATGAGTAAGGATAAAGTCTGATTGTCTAATTGCATTGTCTAGGTGTTCTGCTTGAATAAAATGAGCAGATTTTTCTCCAGTAGGTAGACTTTCTCAGCAAGGATGTATTGCCAATATTTATGTGAGAGTTTGTGGTCCCAGAAGCACAGAAATGCTGGAAAACAAAAAGGAAAGAAAAATGTATCCAAGGAGGAGATCCAACTGCTTCCAAGTCATTTCTAGAAATAAAATTCTGATGCAAACTCATTATCATTCCACTTTCCAGTGCCGATTTGCTTCCTCAAGATTTCAGAGTGTGCATCTGAGAATTCTGACTGTGCATCATAAAGTTTCCCTCAGCAACTGCTAAAACTATTCACAAGGCACTGCAGCATGGAGCAGCTCTCAAAGATGGGATGGTAAGAGCCCCAGGGGACAGCCTTTGGGATTAATCAGGGAGAAAACAGTTAACTTTGTGCTTTGCTGTGTTGCTGCGGGTTGGGGGAATCAAGCAGGTGATGCCATACCTCTTGTCCTGTTGTTAGCAGGCAAATAACTGTGCACAGCTGGAGCATGTTCTGGAATGGCTCTTCCCATAGGCCCTGGAAGCTCCGAGACAAATATTTGCGGCACATTTTGTGGGAACGGGACAGCAGGAGGGGTTGCTTGAGGATGGTCCAAGTCCTAATGCATGTACCAAAGCCAACTCGCTGTGTGTGCCAGCACTAACCTGTTTTAAGTATTGCTGTCATCAGTAGGGCAAGATAACAAAAGCTGCTCTTTCTGGAGAAATATCAGGAAGGAAATTGTGCATGCAGATTGGCCAGCAAACACAACAGTCTGGGGCTGTCAGTGTACACACTGATACTGCCGGTTTGTTGCTATTTTCAGCAGCTCCTGTACCCTCAGGGGTGAGAGAAGGACTTAACTGCTGTCCCTGCTGTTCAGGCATCAGCCTTAAAGGTTCCATGTGGGCTCCGGCTCTTTGGCCCATCTGGAGGTGATTTCTGCAAATAGCAGTTTTCCTCTGAATCTGTCCAGTTCACCACCCAGAGCCACACCACGTGACACTGTGGTGCTGTGGTATCTCCTCTCACATCAGATAAAAACCCACTTTCCTTCACTAGAGATCTCAGTTCCTCATTATTTGCACTTTTATTTATCTTCGAATCCTGCCCACGCCAAGCAATTGCATTCGATTACCTAAACATTCCCCACAGTTTTGCCTGACTTACTTCAGGCTCTAAAACTCTTGTGTAGTCCTGCTGTTTAAAGTTTTTGTGTTTTGTTCTAGAGTTCACTTATATCATGAGGGGTGAAGTGTATCTGTCAGTTAACCACTTCTCAGGAGTACTATTAGGCTTAATTAATGTTTGTAGAACACTATTGAGATTCTCAAGAGAAGCAGCAATAGAACTGAAAAGGATTATAATTAATTTAGAACTATCTCATTTTTGAGTAAATGGCTAACAACACTTAAGGTGAGATTCTCCAAGTAAAACTAATTTATTTGATTCTTACATGAAAACATTCTGAAATCTGGGTTCCATTTGCTACTTCCACTGTATGATGCATTTTGATCTTTCTGGTCCTTCGATATCATTTGATGTATCCAGGCACGTTGCACAGCTTCTTTTAGTTTAGGAAACACAGTCCAATATATGTAAGTCAAGTTAAAATATAATAACAAAATAACTAAGTCAATAAAATCAAAGACAATCCACAGCACCATTTAGTATATTACACAGCACCTTTAGGATATTAAGTGTTTGAACCATAAAGCCTGTAATTAATATTATGGAAAAATTCCCGTGTTTATTTATGAGGCATCTCATTTACATAAATAGTCATTATCTGGAAATAAACCCAGATCATTAAAATTCCGAAAACTGATTGAGATCAGTCGAGATGTACCAAAGAGATTTGCCAGACTCCCTGTTTGAGAGTGTTCTGAGAGAAGAAATCTCTGCTCCCAAACAAGCTTAAACAGGCCTGGGCTGTGGAAACACAAGCAGTGCTTCATGCCCATGACATCATCAAACAGAACGGTTATTTTGTACAGTGAGAAAACATTGGGTCACTCTTCTCACTAACTGTCATGGAGAGCTTCCAAGAAAATGCTTCTGACACATCTGCACTGGAAATTTGACCCAGATTTTGGCTGGTGTTGTCCTAACACAGATTTTTGCTTTCCTGAAACTCTGCAGCAAGTCAAAATACTTTTCGAAATACTCATTTCTTTCCAAATACTTTAAATGCTTACAGGACTTTCAATACTTATGCATCTAGTCAGGAAACACATCGTGCAGAATGAAAAAAAAAGAAGAAATGGCACTTTCATGTTTCTGTTTGCAAGCTGGATTGATCACTCCTCAGCTATTAGCTACAGAGTCACAGGTATTTAAAATTATGTTCTGGTTGATATAAAGAACGTGTCTCGGGTCCTGCTGTCAGTGTTTTTGCCTTTCAAGACCCAGAGTGTTCACTATTCAACTTTTTCTAGGTAGAAATAAACCCACCGATTTTTAAAAAAGCTACAGCTACAGAACATTCCTTAAAAATCTGCAATTTCCCTGAAAGTTCAGGCCTGAGTCTGTCCTTTTTCAGCCTAAGGTGCGTCTTTGAAGTGGAAGTGTAAGCCCGGAGCAAGGTGATAGACCACGATCTGCCCTGTTTGCATGATTATCTTACTAATTCCTAGAGAATGGAGGTTGGCTCAAATACTGAGTCATGAGGATTTAATCTCAATACAGATATTTTTAGTATCTGTTATTTTATCTCGGGTGAAGCTTTTTCTGTATCTGTATCACTGCCCAACTCCTCTCCTAATTATCTGAAATCCTTCTGTAACTGCTTTGGAATGTTCCCTTCTCTTATTACAATATTATCTTGTATTTTACTGGCTCCTAACTGCTCATCTATTGATTCGGTCAGGTAAGAGTGTCCATGTTGCAAGTGTGAGCAACTGCTGAGAAACGGGCAAAACAGAGTAACAACAGTAAATCTCCCCGGTGAGTCACCGTGAATTTAGGTCAGCCCAGGCTCTGCCCTTTGCTGAGCTCTCTGGGAGTTGGCTCCAGGTTACCTGAGGGAGCCCCCAAACTCATCAGACCCCCCAAATTAATGGTTGTGTTCCTTTGCCGTGTATCACTGCTGCTGCCATGGGGGGGGTTAGAGGAGATGAACACTGTCTTAGCAACTGGTCCACAGCCTGCAGCTGAGAAAGGATATGAGAGCAAACACAAACCAAATCACCTTGAGAGTAAAATACGAACCCTATTTGTTTAACCCAATTTGTGCCAAATAATATTATGGATCCTCTCAATCTCAGCCAGTTGAGGCTCAAAATCAATGTGCTGAGAGCAGAGGAGGGAGAGTGGTTTATCTGGTCTGGCTCATACCTGGGCATCCTCTGCTGCAACAGTAAGGGGCTCTACAAAACCAGGTAGGCAGAGAAAACTGTGAATTAGTGATTAATTTAACTGGTTCATCACCTCCTTGAAAAAAGTATGACCAAATGTTGATGCAAAGAAAGTAATTCACATAACCAAGTTTGAATTTGACTCATAACACAATAAAAAACTACCTTAATAAATGGCAATTTTTAAAAATCACAGTCTGACTCTCGATACAACAAAAAGACTTCCAGTATAAATAATGGAATTGGAGGAAATGTCCTTGGCAAGTCAATTTGTTCCATGCTGCTGATGGTTCCTGTTAGTGACAAGGATTTGTTTTTCAAGAGGGAAACAATGGAAAACAGATGCAAAACCATTTACCAGAAGGCCAAGCAATGGCAGCTTTTCCAAAATGTCAAGTGTGCAGAGTGGAGTCAATTTGAAAGAGAATTAATTATTTAAACTGAATTAATTTGACTACAATGAAGCCCTGTTAAGCCATCTCATCCATCCTGCTTCCAACTGTGCTACCCCTTACAGTCTAAGTCTAAGTACTGACCTCAATTTTCAAATACTTCAAATAAAAACTCTCTTATCCAGTCAAGTGCCAATATGTTGCTTTTTAAATACATTTACTGTATCCCTTCCAGGAACTCACCGAAACAATTGTATTCACCTCCTCCACATTCCCAATTCATCCGAGTTTAATTCCTGGGTCCCCTTTTTCCTTCTTTTCCTCTTTCAGCTTTGTACTTGTGGTGTTTTCCCGGAAGCTTCAGGCAGTTTCCATTGCTGCATTCATCAGATCCACCTTTGCCTGCAAGTCTGTCCTTTGCATAAAGTCCCTCACATCCTGATCTCAACAACTTTTCTCATTTCTTTCATGCACTGCCTTGCTGTTGCTCGCCTTTGGGGACAGGAAGGTGACTGAATTTTAGGTCCACAGCTTTCATATGGAAGGTCATTTTTTCAAAAGCATATCCACACCTACTTCCTCTGGAACCAGTTGTCCCAAAGGGCTTCAGTTCCTCCCGGAACATGGGCCATAAAAAAGTTGTAATACACAGATTATCACCCCTAGAAGGAGCACTCCAGAGACCACTGTGCCCACTGTTTGCATTTTCCAGGTCAACAGGGATTTGCAATGCTACCAACAATTTAAAAATGGCAATAATGTTTACCTTTTTCCCTGATATGTGGCAAACACCAACAGAGACAGTGTTCCTTTGAAATCCTTTGTTTCCCATGGGAATATCTGTAACCATTTCTACCATTAGTAAATCAGAGCTGTCACTTTTGGTTTCCAGTTTCAGCATGGGCACAGGAACCATTCCAAAACCATCCTTTTCTGTCACTATTAAAGCAAAACATCTGTGCTAGAATTTATAAAAAGTAAATTCCTTTATTTCTTCTATTTCATGGAGGAAAAGCACTCCTGTCTATTAAGTAATAAACTTAATTGCCCTGGGTCTTGCCTGCACTGGGAATGCATATTAATTTAAATGCCTCAGTGTAAAAATCAGTCTCATTAAACTATCTCAAAGCCCTAAAATAGATTGAGCACTGTTCTAACACTTGCATATAATCATTCATATCAAAGTTATAATTTACAGGAGCTCATGATGAATATAAACAGGAATTAAAACAGTGAGGAAAAATGTTTAGTGGAAATGATATTTAAATTGATGGTTAAGAACTCTCTTCTGGAGCATATTCCAGGCTTTGGAGGAATACAGTTGGTAGGATCTATATGGTGTACTAGAAACAACATATAAAACGTGAACGCACTGAAGCCAAAGTAACACCCTCACCTCAGAAAGGCATTTCTGAAGTGATTTTGTGCTCTGCCACTTCCTTGCCGTGTGGGGGGAATGACTCACGTACATATGGAAAAACGAGAGCGAGTTCTTAGAAACCATAACGTTTGCTTGATCAGTCACAACCGACTGCGCCAGGGCCCGCTCGGCGTATCGGCCCCGCACGGCCCGGCTGGGATCTCCATAGTTACCCCGGGCACAACAACCACACCGAGGTGCCTTTGTGGGGCTGATAGGCAGACAGGAAGCCAGCGAACATCTGCTACAGCTTGAGATGGTTCTGCCTCCAGCGACTGCCGAAAAACTTCAGGCTCTGCGTTCCACGTCCTGCTCACTTGGCCTTTGACACCAGCAGCTGTTGGACAGGAGATGTAAAATGTTATACCTACTGAAAGGGAGGTGCACTGTTTTCTAAAGGGCCTTTGGGATGTTTAAAGGCAGTTTTTTTCTTTCCATTTTCTGATGACTGGAAACGCTGGATAGCAGAGTCTGCATATGGAGTTACTTCCTGAAGGTCAACCACTTCCTATTAACAACTATTTTTTTTTCTCATGTTCTGTTTTCCTTTCCAAACCTGCTTTGTTTTGTTTTGTTTTGTTCTGTTTTAAACACCAAAAACAATTGCCCCGTATACTGAATAGTAATTATAATCATCCTAATCATCGTGAGGAAGCCATGTGCTTCCCTGGATCAGGGCTGGGGCTTCCAGCCCAGGCAATCTGTCTTCTTGGAGCTTAACAGCATTTCTATAGCATGGACAGCCAAGGAACGGAGTTATACAAAATAAATACCAAACAATTTAGAGCAAACCGTTTCTTTGTTTAAAGAAAGAGCTCTCAAACATGAATTTTTAAAAGGGAGCTCAGCCAAAACGTGCAGATTCTCTGCTTGTGTGTGTGGAGAAAATCTCTGCTCCACATAGTTCAGCAGTTCTCCACCACTGTAGGATTTTCATTTGCATGGAAAACTACTAACAGGGAACCACTGACAGCAGCATATTTTTAGGATATTGAGGCCCGTGGCATCTTTATGCACTTCCTCTGAGACTGTAATTTTGTCTAGGATATTGCAACAGTTGTGATGAAATCGGATTTAGCCATGTATGGCAGATCCTTTGGGTCTGGCACCATGAGATGAAAGCGGGGTTCAGAGTAACAATGAGAATGATGAAGACACTACTCCAGAGTTAGGAAAGCGTAGGTGAGAAGAGAATTTTGCCCAGAAATTCTATGCTCTGTGCTTTGGGGTTTTATGCAGTTTTTTTTGTATGTTCTATTCTTAAACTGCAGATGGATGCTGGTTTGCTGGAAAATAAATGAAGCACAAGGATGACTTCAAACATTTGCAGGAGCCATGCTGACACTCAAAATATAGAAACATCAAGTAACTTTCCTGGTGAGATCATAAAAGCAGAGCCACAGTGATCAAAGAAGAAAATGCAAGACTCTTACTCCATTCCTAATACAAGATCCATTCTCCTTCTGGGACCAGGAGCCTCCATGGCACAGAGATGCTCCCATAGTCTACAAATACAGTACATAAGGTGGGTACTTTGACAGTATTTAATTAGTTAAATGTGGGAATATTAATAAATACAGTAGATGTAACCCTTGAGAGTGACAAATGACTGATCAGGTTATTATTGTATAATTGAGTCATAGAATCCCAGAATGGTTTAGTTTGGAAGGCTCTTTAAAGATCATCCAATTCCAACCCCCTGCCCATGGCAGGGACACCTTCCACTAGCCCAGGTTGCTCCAAGCCCCATCCAACATGGCCTTGGACACTTCCAGGGATCCAGGGGCAGCCACAGCTTCTCTGGGCAACCTGTGCCAGGGCCTCCCCACCCTCCCAGGGAAGAATTCCTTCCCAATATCCCATCTAACCCTGCCCTCTTGCAGTGGGAAGCCACTCCTCTTGTCCTGTCATTCCATTTCTTGTCCCAAGTCACTCTCCAGCTCTCCTGGAGCCCCTTTAGGCACTGGAAGGGTCTCTAAGATCTCCTTGGAGTCCTTCCTTCTCCAGGTGAACCCCCCCAGCTCTCCTAGCCTGTCCCCAGAGCAGAGGGGCTCGAGCCCTTGGAGCTCTCTGTGGCCTTCTCTGGACTTGCTCCAGCAGCTCCATATCCTTCTGATGCTGGGGATCCCAGGGCTGGAGGCAGCTCTGCCTGTGGGGTCTCACCTTTGCAGAGCAGAGGGGCAGAATCCCCTCCTTGACCTGCTGTCCATGCTGGGGATGCAGCCTCGGATACCTTTGCCTTTCTGGACTGCTCTCAATCCTATTATCTTCTGGATTTCACAGGGCACTGAATTTATTAAACTGTATTAATATTAGAATAATTAAATATATGTCTTGAACTGTGTGCACATTACATTTAACCAGCTTGGGAACAGGCTAAAACTTGAAGCAATTTTTAGGAGAATTGCAGAATCAATACATCAATTCCCATTAATTTGGTGTCAGAGGAAACAAATGTGTACCTGTCTGAAACGTGTGCATTCCCTGCAGAGATGTACTAAAATAGGCATCTTCTGTCTGCCTTCCCTGTGCCCTTCAAACATCAGAAACCAGGGCCAGAATGGGGGAAACCCAGACTGGCTCCAAAATCTAATGTAGACAATTTTAGTAACCCAATATCCTGGACACGTTATACACAAATCCGAGCCATCCTAAACTCTACCCTATCCACTGCACTGAGTTCCTTGTTGTTCCCCCAATGCTCCAGTCCCTCCAAAATTCATCTCTACTTCAGGGCTGAGAACATCTAGGCAAGCTGAGGAGGAACTCCTTTCAGTCTGTCACAGCCATGAGCTGTAATTCTGCACAGCACTGAGAAAATTTTAGTGACTAATCCTAATCGAGAGCACATTTTAAACCAGCCAGAGTTCTGGATCAATCCAAGCTCCGTAAAATGTGCTGTGCTCCAAAGCAGCTGGCACATCTTACTCACTGCACAGCTGGCTGCTGAGAAAACTCTTGTCTCAGGAGGTTTGCTCAAGCACATGAAACATATTTTTAGCATCCCAAAGGTGTTCGTACTCACTGAGCTGAGAGTGCAACCTGCCTGACAGCAGCTTTCCAGAGGAAGGAGCAGGAGAGAGGATGATGAGATTACCCCCCATGGAAGGAGACTCCTGCTTGGAATATCAACACATCTTTTCAGTCTCTCTCGTTGTGACTGTTTGTGCTTTCATCAGATTTTCCATTTGCTCCTTCAGCTACGGGACCAGATGGCTCCCACACATAATGCTCTGAATCATGGCAAGGCTCGAGGTGTTTGTTCTGTGGCACAGCAAACACACGCTGGACCAGGTTAAACCCCCTCTCAGCCACATATGGTGCACGCTGTGTGGAGCTGCAGCAGGTGCCTATGGATCCACACAGAGGAAGATCCTTTTCTTCTTGCAGGTTGTCAGGAAAATGACTGTCATACCTTCAGCACAAATAGCAGGGAATAGAGGCAGTGCAGTAACACATGGCACAGGACAGATGCTCAGTGCTTCCTGGGATGCACAATGCCTGATGGCAAGGAATCCTGGCGGGCCAAGGACAGGAGGGTCTTGTTCCCCCTCTGATTTCTCCATGCAGCTTGTGATTAAACTGGTGCTGACACCTTGCCTGGTGCCTGTTTGCACAGCCAATAGCCCTGGGCAGGACTTCTGGCCGTAAAGCACCTACTGGAAAAGGAGAGAATCTCATTGTTTGAGAGCATCTTTGCCCCTGGCATTTGTTAAATAGAAAATAAAACTGATTTTCTCCTCACTTGCCTCACGTAGATGTGGGGTAGATTCAAGCTGTGGCAGCCCTGTGAAATGAGGGTGAATGGGGAGGTGTTTGCCAATGGAACAACCATTGCTCAGGAAGACAAGGCTGGAGGGATTGCACAGCATGTGATGTGTGCTTCAGTGACAAGACCATAAACACCACCCTGTAGTTGTCCCTCACTGATCCATCACACTTCTGAGCACTGAAAAACCCTGTAGTAATGAAGGTGCTTTTTCAATACCTAGGAGATGGCTGTTTCAGAGAATTCCAGCCTGCCATGCTGGGGCTCAGCGCAAGCACCAAATCCCAGGGTGGCTGAGGGATGTCCTGGATCGCACGGTGGATACGGTGTGTGTGCCTCAGGCCACACAATGAGGGAGCAGCCAAGCATCTGGCCACTCTCCAATGGCCACACTCCACCTCAAGTATTTTCTGAGATGAGAAAATTACCCTTTGGCTGTTTTTCAGCTTGCTTTCCTTGGGATGCATTTGACATGCCCTCCTTGTTGGGAGTGACAGGACACCTCGTGAGCAGGTGCTGTACTGTCCCCATCAGGGACTGGAGCAGTGACCAGGAATGTCACAACTGCAGCCTGTGCTGAGCAGCTCTGATGAAGGTTAAACATGTGCTGCCACCACCTCTGAGGTCAGCGTTGGGCTCACTTTAGCAGTCCTATAAATAGATGACCAAGGTTGACTGAAAAGAGGATTTGGCTCGGCTGGATCTTGTTTAGCATTCCCAAGAGAGGAAGGCAGATTCTTTTCCCTCTTCTCTTCCAGCCTCTAACCTTGAGTTGGTCTCTGTGGGAAGCATTAGTGGCATTTGCCAAAAGAGCTGCCGCCGTGAGCCGGATGTCCTGCTGTGTCACACAAACCACACGTACACGTCTCTTCAACCTGCTAACCCAGACCTAATTCCACTAAAGCCTCAAACTAATTCCTCGCCAGCAAAACTAGGGAAAAAACCCAAACAAACCTTGAGCCTAATTGCTTGAAAACAGTAGGACACCTAGTGGATTTATAGGGAATATCTTTGGGATTATCAGAAACATTTTGTCATTTTCTTGGCAAAACCAACTGTGAATATATTTATAGAGGAATCATTGAAATATCGGGGTTTCTATTTACTAAATTAATCTTGTTATAGCTGTTACAGCCTGCAGTTTTCCTGAAGAAGTTATTGCAACCTATAAAAAACCCAAAGAGTGTTCTTTGCATGACTTGAAAAAAAAATAATTGTGGAGAACTGGATGGTTCCCAAGGTCTGGGAACAGGAGGAAGGGTATTCTGCCAGATCAAAGCCATCCCAGTTGTTCCATCAGACAGCTCTCTAATGATCTTAATGAGCAAAGTTCTACAGTCTCAGCCTGGCTCCCTGTACAATCGTGCAGCTTCACAACATCTCCACGCTGAGCACAGCCAAGCAGCTCTGCTGGTTGTTTCAGCAGAGAATGACTTGGCCACAGAAGCCAAACTGCCTTCTTCATTCCCCAGGGCCGAGCTTTCGAATCCAAATTAGAGGATGATGGGCCATGTGACAATGGCTGCTCTGCTGTCGCTCTATTTGTCTGGTACCAGTACCAACATCAAGCAGATTTTGACTCTAGGTAGGAAATAAACCTCTGTGGCAGGGCGTGTAAGAGGAAGAAGATTTGGAGTGATGGTTCTATGAAATGATATCCTGGCCAGCAATTATCCTGGGGCTGCCAGTGTTATCTTGCTGGGATGTCTCCGGAGGCAGCGGATGCAGACAAAGAGATGAGTGTTGAGTCCAAAATGGATGCGGGAAACTGAAGACTTCATTTTGACAGCCAGCACAAGGAACACCAAGTCATCGAGGCGTGCACTCAATTCCTCCCCAAAGCACATTGAAAACTTCCTTTCCTTTCTGCTTATTCCATAATATTGTCCCAGTGAAAAATGTCTCCAGAAAATGGTTAATTTTTCTGCTCCCTTGCCACTCTTTCTTCAGTGCTGCTAAGACCCCTAAAGAACAGCAAAACCAGGATGAGGTTTGATTTTTGGATAGGTCCCTGTTCAAATCCAGGTCTTTTTTTTTTATTCCAACCTCAAGGTTAGGAAAGAAAAGGCTGATCTAGAAATTAATTTTGATTTGGTCTATTTCATCTTATATATTTTCTTCTTAGAGCTGCAGAACTCAGATGGTGGAATACAAGTGAGCTATCAGCAGAAAAATTCCTATTGACTCCGTGTATTTTCATTATTCCTACCTGTGGCACAAAATTACCTGAAAAATAGAATTCCTTGCACATTGTAGACCATTTAATTTGGTCCGGGGTTTAAAAAAAGAGTGTTTTTTTTTTTTTATTTCTGTGCACGGATTTTTATATTTGAAGGGGTTTGTTTCTGACTGACGTGTCAAAATGGGGGTAGAGTGTGCTAAGAGTACGCTTTTGTCTAATTTAGCAGCTGGATTGGAAAGCTTGAATTATCTCTGCATAATTGCAATGATTCATGGATTGTTAGGAAATTGCAAAGTATTGATTGGATTTTCCCCTTAGGAAATATTTCTCCTCTGATAAAACAGAGTAGGTTCTGGGGTTTTGCTTTTGTCCTTCCTGCCTTCTGTCCCAGTGAAGCCAGGGGCTGCTTTCATCTGGAAAACAGGAATTTGGGTCAACAGCCATTCAAGGACAGTTTTGAATTACTGCGATTTCCAATTCCAAATCTTTCCCTGAGCTTTGCAGAGTGATGGGCTTGGCAAAGTGTGGGCAGGGATTTCCAAGCCTGAAAAACTGGGATCAGCAACAAATAGTGGCCATCCCTCTTTCACCTTCTTCCGTTTCCATGTCAAACACCACTGGTCTGCTCTGCAAAGAGACCTTGACCTTGTTGTGGGAATGCTACAGCCATCGGAGATGGTGGCAGATTTTCCACTTTATTAGGCCAGGATTTCTCTCAGGGTCTCAGGAGCTGGTGGGAGGAGGGAAGTGGGAGACTGAAATGAAAATCAGGTGCAGGGAGAGCCTGCACACAGTGCCTGGGGCAGCCGGAGCTGGGAGCCCTGACACACATCTGCACATTAATGGTGCTGGGCCCTTTTGGCAGCTCTGTATGAATTTCCAGAACAGAACCATAAATACGCAGTTATGAGTGTGACCTCTGCTGCTTTTCTTCTCTTAATTGAACATCCAAGGCCCAGCTGAGTATCATTCCTTGTCTCTGCTCCAGTTGCTTGGAACGTGCTGCCTCTGCAAATGGTTCTGCCTAAGTTAGGAATTACGAGAGTGTGCTAATTCAAGGTTTGCCATGAATTTAGTGTTCCCGCAAGGATGACACTAATGGCAATTAATGCAGCAGAAATGCCAGTGCTGAGTGACTGTTCTCCCATTAAAAGCTGTCAGTCAGAGAGCACAGAGTCCTCTGTTCTTTCAGGCCTGACCTCTGCTTTTTGGCCATGTTTCATGTGCACGGCAGGTGTCCTGGGCCATCCCATCCCACTCCCCATCCCAGCTTGCTCCAGGAGGGGACACAAAGAAAGAGCAGAGCAGCCAAAACCAGCCTGTGCTGACAGTGACATTTCCTGAGGGTTTGGATATTCTCATCTGGGGCCTGAACAGCAACAAAATTAACCCAGGATTGAACAGGATATAAGACTTTAATTTCTGGAGCTCCCAGATAGTCCAGCGCTCTCCTCGTGCCCTGCTCTGTTGATTCTTGTTTAGACACAGAACTCTTTCAGTTTTCACCATGAAAAATCTGATTTTAAATGATCAAATGCATTTAAACAGGCTTAGCTAGAAAGACCCCCCACTGCTTCTCAGCTACATGGCAATCTGCACAAATGTCCATGTTTTGGTAAAAATGATTGCTAAAAATGCCTCTGCTTCGTAATGGCTGATGTTCAACAAGTGACAGCAGTGCAGCAACATGGGGACTGTGGTTTTTAGCTCACCCAGAATTGCCACTGCCCTCACTCTCTGCCCCGATGTCCTGCACAGGATGTGCCAGTTCCAGATGAGGAACATCTGCAATTTGGTGCAAGAGGAAGTAACACTTACGGACACAAAAAATGTAAATAAAGGGTGTTTCCAGGCTCACCAACAAAATCCTAAACACGGAAAGGAGAACAGCTCTTGCAGAAGAATAATTAAAAATAGTTCATCTGTGTATTTTTTAAGTGTTTTTTGCACTAATAGCAATTCTGGAGGATGAAACCAGGTCTGAGAAGCATCAAGTGAAAATTAATAGCTTTTTAGCAACAAAGTTCAATGGAGAAGCACAAATAGGATGTGAGATGGAAACCTGAACTGCCGAGTTATAAATACACCCCAGCCTCTCCACAGACAAATATCCATTATCCTTTTAATGTGCTTCTCAACACTGTATGATAAGCATTTTCAAACTCAAAATTTTGGGTGTTCTGGGTTTATCTGTAGACAAAAAGGATGAATCCAAAGACCACAGAGACCACCTTGCTGCTACACTACCAGAGCGCTTTCTGCTCTGCCAAGGTCTGGCCTTGCAATGCCCTTATGGAAACTGGCACATACAATTATTCCCACAGGACACATGGAACAGAGCCCTGGGGATGTGAAGCCCTGAATGCTTGTTGGGTTTTGTGCCCCTCTAAGAAGCTGGAGGTGCATGATCTGCCTGGGCACGCGGGGGGCTGGTGGCAGGATGTGAGCCTGGACTCCAGTGCTCCAATCTCACACTGTGCTCCTGTGGTGGGACACACTGGGCTCACATCTTGCTGTGTCTCCATTATTAATGCTTTGTTTGCCCCTCTCAGAGGCTCTGAGGCAGCGTGAACTATTTATTTTTAAAGGCAGAGGATCACGTTCTGGCTCGTTATCCCTCCAGCAGACAGTAACTGATGCCCAGCGCTGCTGCCGGCGCCCGGGGGTTACTTTGCACGCACAGGAATGATGACACAGCCACTGAGTGCAGCCATGGCAAACATGCTGCTGCTAATGGCAGCCTGGTGGGAAAAGAGCATTTTAGAGGGATTTGGTTTAATCATCTGGATGCGAGCGCTATTTTTATCCTCTGCTTTTTAGGTCTCAAGCCTGTGCCAAGGGAAGCTGATGACAGAGCTGGTGTCTCCCGTGGCACAGGGGCACACAGGGGTGACCGGGGCAGTGTAGGCAGTGGGGAAGGGGCCTGTGGTTGCAGCCCCTTTACACCTTGTGAGCTGAAAGAGCTCTGACACCTCCACCATGAGCTCCATTGTTTTCACATGCCCTTTTGAGACCAGTTCATAAGAAGGATCTGTGAGACCTGCGGACCTCTTGCCAACCCACCCCAAGCTGCCCTGTGGCTGTGGATGGCTTTGGGGTGAAGTCATCGTCTGTCCGTGGAGGCAGAAGGGCACCCACACTGTGCCCAGGGATGGGCTGGTGGGCACCAGGCAAGAGGTGATGCGAGATGTGGTTGTTACACCTGTGTGTGTGAAGGGGCCTGAGGAGCTCAGAGTGCATGTGGACATCATTTGGGCATAGGAGCCCGTGGAGCTCAGAGTGTGTCTGTGCATCATTTGGGAACAGTCTCAGGGAGCTTGGAGTGTGGCCAGGCATCATTTGGGCACAGGACCCGGGGAACTCGGAATGTGCGTATCCATCGTTTGGGAACAGGAACCTGGGGAGCTCGGAGCGTGTCCGTGCATCGTTTGGGCACATGAGGCCGAAAAGAAAAAAAAAACGAAGAGCGGGTAGAAAAGTATCAGGTTCCACCGAGATTTGAACTCGGATCGCTGGATTCAGAGTCCAGAGTGCTAACCATTACACCATGGAACCGCTCTGCCTCCGTTCCCTCCCGGCCGCCCCTAGTGCCTTCCCGCCGCAGCGCATCCCCGCAGCCCCCTCACAGCCGCCGCGGGGGCCGGGCTGTGGCGGGGCCGGGCTGTGGCGGGGCCGGGGGGCTCGGGGCCGGTCGGGCCCCCCGCTCGGTGTAAGGCGGGCCGGGCACGGCCCCGGCACCGCCCCGGGCGCGGTCGGGCGGCGGCGCCGCTGCCCCGGAAGCGGCCGCGGGCGGGCGGGCGGAGCGCGCAGGGCGGAAGCGCCGCGGCGGCTGCAGGGACGGACCGGCCCCGGCCCCGCTCCCGCTCCGCTCCCGACCCGCCGCCGCCCCGACCCCCGCCATGGGCACCCGCGACGACGAGTCCGCCGCCGCCCCGACCCCCGCCATGGGCACCCGCGACGACGAGTACGACTATCTGT